GTTACTTTACTAGTTACTTGAAAAAAAGTAATCTGATTACGTAACTCGCGTTACCCCCCGAACACTGGTAAATACAGTTTACCGGAGAAACGCTCTACTTCAAAACGTCATGTTTAATCTAATGTGTCACATGCCCTTTCTTTGTAATTAATTGTTACAATTAGTGAGATGCACTATGTTCACACGACTGCACCTCAGACACTCGCTATAGTTTCATAAACACCTTAATGCTAATGTTTTCATGTGATAACTCCACTCAGTCGGTCATTTCAAATCAAGAACAGCGATCTTACATATTTTACTCGCTTTATAAGTTTCAAAGTCAAAGATTCACAATTAAACAGAAGCGCTCAGTGTATGTCAGAAACGCTTACCTGCAGCCCAGAGCACAGGTACGTCTGCGAGACGTCTGTTAAAGATCTCTTCATCTGGAAAGCATCTGCTGTGTGCAAACATCTGATAAACGTCTCTGAGATGTCCGTTTTACATTCATTCTAAATCATAAACATCTTAAAGATGTCTTCTAAACATCTATTTGACATCTGAGAGGAAACATCCTATAGACGTATTGCAGATGAGCAAACAACCAAAAAATCTGAGCTCACAAACACATCACTGAAACATCATCCAGCTGCAGACGCTGGGAGAACACCTGACAGATCCACACCTGAAATACTGCGGTGCAATTATTATATCAACTCACAGACAAACCTGAGGGCTAAAGCGCCATGGCTTTTCTTCAGGAACTTCCTATTTGAGTGAAATCATCTCTGTGGTTCACATTACTTGAAGGTACGTCAATGTTCTCTTCTACAACCTCAGTTCAAACCTGAAACGTGAATTTTGACTCAGTTATGAGCACCTCAAAAAACAGAACGTCTTTATTTCATCAGTTCATGTATTTGGTTAGTTACAGACGAACATTAGGGTGTAAAACACAAGTGCCAAGTATCTTTAGTGAACCGTTTAAAACGGTGTGTTTGGAAGGTAAAGTAAAGCAATTTGCATTTTTAGAAAACACTGCAATCAGCAGTCTACAGGACCTCAAAGAAAACCTCTTGTTCACCTCCGTCGGGCTGATGTTCAGGAAACCCTTAAACAAAATATGAGCGGCTGTTGATCGGAGACGTCAGATGCTGCTGAATGTCTCATTGTTCATTAAAGCGAGTCCTCGGCACTGGAATAAAGCAGAGGTCAGAGGTCAGAGACCGATCAGCTGACCTCTCTATCTGTCGGCGTCGGCTTCGTTACAGGCACACGGAGACTCCGGTCATGATTCAGTGAGCTGCTGTTGATCAGAACTGATGTGTTTAATACACACACACTCACGCACGCACTCACACACACACTCACTCGCACTCACACACGCACGCTCACACACACACACACACACACTCACACACAGACACAGACACAGACACAGACACAGACACAGACACAGACACAGACACAGACACAGACACAGACACAGACACAGACACAGACACAGACACAGACACAGACACAGACACAGACACAGACACAGACACAGACACAGACACAGACACAGACACAGACACAGACACAGACACAGACACAGACACAGACACAGACACAGACACAGACACAGACACAGACACAGACACAGACACAGACACAGACACAGACACAGACACAGACACAGACACAGACACAGACACAGACACAGACACAGACACAGACACAGACACAGACACAGACACAGACACAGACACAGACACAGACACAGACACAGACACAGACACAGACACAGACACAGACACAGACACAGACACAGACACAGACACAGACACAGACACAGACACAGACACAGACACAGACACAGACACAGACACAGACACAGACACAGACACAGACACAGACACAGACACAGACACAGACACAGACACAGACACAGACACAGACACAGACACAGACACAGACACAGACACAGACACAGACACAGACACAGACACAGACACAGACACAGACACAGACACAGACACAGACACAGACACAGACACAGACACAGACACAGACACAGACACAGACACAGACACAGACACAGACACAGACACAGACACAGACACAGACACAGACACAGACACAGACACAGACACAGACACAGACACAGACACAGACACAGACACAGACACAGACACAGACACAGACACAGACACAGACACAGACACAGACACAGACACAGACACACACACTCACACACACTCACTCAGACACTCACTCACAGACAGACACACACACACAGACACACTCACTCACACACACTCACACACACTGTGTGTTTCAGCCCAGCAGTGAGATCAGCATCACCACACCCATGAACTGAGTGAACAGAATCACTGGAGTGAAGAACGACCAGACGGGCCACAGAGCGATGTTCAAGCTGAAACACACACAACACCAGCGTATTCAGCAGAGGACAAAAGCACTGACCAAACAGTTTCCAAATGTCAAATGCAAGAATTAACAGTTAAAATCCAGTCTAAATAATCAATAAAATATTTTTTTACACTAAATGAACACAAAGAAGAATTAAATTTAATCATTTTCATTTATATGCAGTAAACCAAACAATATTGAGTGGGTGTATTTTTACATGTCAGATGCCATACGCAGACTCATCAATGACTCACTGAATCAGAGATATGAATGTGTTTAAACGAGACGCTTATTAAATCATCTGTCTGAACACTCTCATAGCAGGGTTATTACAGCTAACTAAAACCATTTAAAAATACATTTTCATTACTTGTAAAAATATAAAATAAAATATTTATAAAATAATGTTTATTTCTACTAGTAGTCATCAAGGCAACATTTCTCATCTTCATAAAAAAAACAACAACCTAAAACTACTAAAAATGACAAAACGAGCCTATTTAAGGACCATTCATTGCATTTTAACAGGATTTCATGGCAAACAAAATATAATTACTGTAATATGAGAACATGATTATGCATGATTAGAATTGCAACATTAAAACATTAAATGTGCTTTCAGTACTTTAGAGCTAATTTACATTACACAAAGAAATAAACTGTTTTTGTGAAGAGTGAATCTGAATGATGTACACTAGCTCGTGCTCAGAATAGTTTCCTATTAAAAGCGTCATGAAACAATGTGAACCTTCAAAAAAACGGAAAATATCAGTAATGAGATTCAGGGACAAATGTTTTGAATTGTCTTAAAATAATGCAGAGCAGTACTGGTCATGGATCATGGAGTTCAGACCTGCAGGAGGCGGCGATGAAGGCTGCGGTGGAGACGGCGGGGACGGCTGGATACTCCTGATCATACTGCTGGATTCCTCTGAACCACTCCAGATACACCATACAGAACAACGCCAGAGACACACACAGCGCCAGCAGAACCAGAGCCACGCTAAACCACCAGCTGAAGCACAAAACCAGCTGTCAGAGAGCCAGAACGCTAGTTACAACTCAATTAAATACAAAAATAACAATTATTTTGTCAAGGCAACATTTGTCATTTTCATTTAGTTTAACTTGATGTGCTAAAACAAGTCAAATTAAAACCAGAAATAAAATGAATTAAACTATACAGACATTTAAAAAAAAAAAAAGACAACATTAAAATGACAAAAACAACTAAAACTTTAATTAAAATTTAAATGAAAACTTAAAATATAATAATTAAAACTCATTAATAAATTCTATAAAAAGCATCTCAATTATACTCCGCACTGTTAGTGACTCAAATGGAGATGAATTTACCAAATATTCTTAAAAATACACGCGGTTTTCTTCACATTTAACAATTAAGAATAATCTCTATTCCGAAAAACAATTCTTGAGAATGTGCTTGTCTTTTTTCTTAAAACAAAACATATGAGTTGAATTCCTGAAAATAATGTTCTTTAAAATTATCGTAAATAACCAGCTTGTCTTAAATCACCAAAAATGCTTAATAAAATGAATTTATTGAATTGTTTCAAATAATAAACATCACAACAGGACTCTAGCTACATATAATACCCATGATTATAAGTAGAGACGCGCACGAGTGACATCACACCAATGATCGACAGTGTGAACAATTCTCATCATGACTATGCGTGATGTTTTTATTTTTATTTCATTTCTGTTTAAAATTCTTCTAAAAACATTTTCTTATATTTAAGAAATATTTAAGAAGTTCTTAAGGTTTTTTTTTTAATTTTTTTAAGAACTTCACTTCTGAACAATCGTACAAATTTCTTAAAAGCCATCTTAAGAAATGTAATCTTCTTAAAGGGATAGTTCACCCAAAAATGAAAATGTGATGTTTATCTGCTTACCCCCGGGGCATCCAAGATGTAGGTGACTTTGTTTCTTCAGTAGAACACATTTAATTTTTAACTCAACTTTGAACAATTAATTGCCGCTTTGAACGATTACGTAATTGTAATTGCGATTAGAAATTCGATTAATTGTGCAGCCCTACAAACCATGTTTATTTTGTCAGTGAATACACACACTCTCTCTCTTTCTCTCTCTCACACACACACACACACACACCCGTCAGTAACAACTGCTGTCTTGTGAGTCTGAACAGTGACTGACAGTGCTAGTTATGGTCAAGGTTAGTAGTCACCTGTGAATGTCACTGTGGTTCAGAAGGACAGAGAAGAAATCCAGATAGTAGGTGAGAGAGACAGAGGCCAGGATCCAGAAGACTGAATGCCGGTTGATCCGAGCAGATGGTTTCACATCCACAGCCTCATCAGGACCAGAACCTGCAAGATAATAAGATAACACAACATTAACAACAACAACAACATCAACATCAACTACAACACAACAACAATACAACACCACAACAACACCATAACATCAACAACAACAACACCTCAACAACAACAATACAACACCACCATAACATCAACAACAACACCACAACAACATCAACACCACCACCATAACATCAACAACATCACCATAACATCAACAACAACACCACAACAACATCAAGAACACCACCATAACATCAACAACACAACACCAACAACAACAACACAACATCACCATAACATCAACAACAATACAACACCACAAGAACTACATAACATTAACACTAACACAATGACATCAACAACAAAAATAAGATCAACAACAACATCATTGATACTGTCAATCAAATCATCAATAATTTATTCCTATAGCACGTTTAAAAACAACACTAGCTGACCAAAGTGCTTCACAGACCCACAATTACAACACACACACACTCTTTCTCTCTCACACACACACACACACTCTCTCTCTCTCTCACACACACACACACACACACACACACTCTCTCTCTCACAC